TTTTTTTTTTTTTTTTTTGGTACCGGGGATTGAACTCGGGTCCTTCAGCTTGCAAGGCAGCCCACGGAACCGCCGAGCTAAATCCCCGACCCTCTCATTGCCTTCTTTACTACACTTTTGGGAACCAAGAGCAGTCTATCAAGGATACAGACCATTTTCTTAAATTCTAGTAAAGATAACTTTTAGGACCTCATTTGAAACCTTTAGAAGCAGAGCTTTGTAGAAAAAGTGTACTATTTTGGAGTTAGGCAGATGAGTTACAATTACAATCCAGCCACTAACTAGCTTTGAGCAAAAAAATCTTTGAGTTTCAGTTTACTCATATGAGAAGTAGACATACTATTTAGCTTGAAGTTGAGTATTGGGAATATTATACATAAAACAACGCATTCACTGGCACACAAGTATGCTGTGAGTAGTAGCTGTTATTATGGTGTCATAGCCTTAGGCCTATGTGAGCTTGCAGACTGCAAAATCCATTGATAATCACCTATTTGTAAGAAAAGAACGTTTATTAAATGGACTTATCAACATATAAACTATGACATCTTTTATAACATCAGAAATTGTTTTTCAACTGGACAGTGGCACATGCCCATAATCCTAGCACTTAGGAAGCTAAGACAAGAAGACCATTATAAATTCAAGTCCAGCCTTGACTACATAATGAGTTCAAGGCCAGTCTGGTCTATTTATCAAAATGCTGTCTCAAAAAGAAAAAAAGAAACTGTTTTCTATCATGAGAGAATACTTTTTAGGAAAAATTAAGCCTGTAATCCCACACTAAGAAGGCTAACAAAGGAGGATCACAAGTTTGAGCACAACTGAACAACTTAGCAATATCCTATCTCAAAATTTAAAAAATGTTTAAGTTGTTTGTTGGTTTTGTTTTTTGTAGTACTGGGGATCGAACTCAGGACCTTGCGAGGCAGGCATGGCTTCACTGACCTAAAATCTCTGGCCCTTTTTCAGTTTTTTTTTCTGTACCAGGGACTGAACTCAGGACCTTGTGCTTTCAAGGCAGGTGGTGGAACCACTGAACTAAAAAACTCCAGCCCATTTTTAGTTTTTTGAGATAGGGTTTCTCTATGTATCCCAGGCTGGCCTCATACAGTGATCCTTGTCGTAGCCTCCCAAGTGCTGGGATTATAGGTGATCACTACTACACTTGGTTCAAAATAAAATATTTTAATAAAAAGGTTAGGGATGTGTCTCTGTCTGAAGGTCTGGTTCATCTCCAGTACTGCTAAAAAACCCTCAAAGTTTCTGTGTGACAAAGTTTCTGTGTGACAGCATGGGGCATGGTGGCATGCTGTTGTAATATCCCAGCTACTCAAGAGGCTAAGACAGGAGGACTTAGCAAGATCTAGTCTCAAAATAAAATTTAAAGGGCTTAGCTCAGTAGCACTGAGCCTGTCTTGCAAGCACAAGGTCCTGAGTTTGATCCCCATAGCAGAAATAAATAAAATAAAATAAAATTTTAAAAGTGGTTGGGGATATAGCCCAAAGGTAGAACACCTGACTAGGATTACTTATAGACCATGGCCTTTAGCTCACTCAACTTTTATCACATGGATTCTACAAAACTGCCTGAGACAATGGAGACTAACATATATATACTATTCCCCTCCTACAAAAAATCTATTCCTTTTAAGAGAATAGCTAGTTTGGCCAAAGAAGCCTAATATTTTAATATTCAACTGCTAGGAGTAGAAATCAAGCAGAAGCAATTTATATAATACTATATTATTAAGCACTCTCCTCTTATGTGCTTTATATATATCAACTCATTTAGACTTTACACACTCTTATAAGGCATTTTCCTCATTTTACAGGTAAAACTAAAAAAATTATTAATAAACTGATGTACAGAAAAATAATTTACTCTAGGTTACATAGCTAGTGACAGAGGCAGAATTCCAATACAATATCACCATAGGGTTGGGTATCCTTAAAATATTTTGAGACCAACATTTCACAGTTGAGATTAAGAAGCAAGAATATGTCTCTTGTATACTTGGTAACTAGCACAGTGTTGAGTGAACACTTGTGCAA